GATCGCCAAATTTGTGAAACCGTATACACTACTGTCTATTGTGTACGCTATTTATTAACAATACCTATAAAAATATATCGATGACAAGCTCAGAGAAGACATTAATAACACTGACATCCGTCATAACCATACATGGTTCGCCCCTGCCTAGATTGTGTGTGCTAAAAGGTGTGTGGGTCTGCAGCTGGATATTATTGGCCAAGTGTGACATGGCAGGGATGAGAATCAGTATCTCCAAATCTGAGCTCATGGTGCTACTCCAGAAAAATGGTGGCTTGCCATCTCCAGGTTGGAGGAAAGTCCTTACCCCAGGTGGAAGGATACAAAGTATGTTAGCGTTTTGTTCATGAAAGAGAGCAGGATTGACAGGCAGATCTGTGCAGCGGCAGCAGTACACTGTAAAAAACGCATAATTCCAGACAATTTCTTCATGCTGTCCCAACACAAATATATTAAGTTATTTTTAATTGTTTTTATAAATTAAAGTGGATTGAAAATAAAAAATTAAGTTGTCCAAAAAAAAAAAAAAACGAAGATTTGTGTGGTTTCAACTGATTTTAATAAAGTAAGTGAGTGTAATGTGGTCTGGAGTAGTTGTATTAAATGTGTGAGAGGGAAGTTTGGGGTTCTCTCCTAAGACTGCTGCCCCCACGACCCAGACCCATATAAGCGGAAGAAAATGAGTGAATAATAATAAAAAATCTAATGAAAGTTTGACCAAATCAAAGAGAATAAAGTTTTGCAGTTGACTTCTACTTCTTCTGTATGCAGGAAGTGTCTGCTCAATATCCAGCAGCACAGACAGAGATCTTCCTCTAAAGCCTGAGAGCTGGAGAGAGTATGTGAGTAATTCAGACTCTTCAGCGGACACACAGAGAAATGAAGCTCTTGTAGTGACTGATGGACACCGACGGCTGATTGTACATCGCTTTTAAAGCCAACGTGACCTGTCGTTTCTGTCTGCGCTTCACAATATGAGCTAATAACACTCTGACACGCTCCAGTTCCCCTCGCTGACCCCCTGATGATCAAAAATGCTGTAATTATTCCCATTACAATCAGACGGATATCGCTTTCACGGGGTGTGTTGCGGAGATGATGAGACTGAACTGGGTTGTGTGTGTGTGTGTGTGTGTGTATGTGTGTGGATGAGATGAGAAATAGCAGAGTTCACAAATGCTTCTTTGATTGAAATCATTGATATATAATATAAAACACTATTAATTTATGCATGATTTATCTATAATTAATATTTATTCAGCAAAGAGCATGATTATATATTACAACAATATAAGCTAATAAAATAAAAATAAAATAATTTTGTATTTAATTTATTCTTTATTAATAATAATAATAATAATAATAATAATAATAACAACAACAACAAATATTTAAGGCTAACTAAAAGAAATAAGAGTTTCTCCAGGACACAAATATACTATGAAATATTATGAAGATGTCCTTGCTCTAATAACATCACAATAATTTTACCTTTAATTTTCTATGCAAATAAAAATGCAATAAAAAAATAAATATATAATAATAATAATAATTATCTACAACAGTTCTGTCTGGTTCTCGAATCTGAGTGGCTAATAGCTGTGTGATATTCTGCAATAACAGCACACGTACAGCCTCTTCACCCTTGTGTATTACTCCGCCCACAGCGGATCAGTAAACTCACTACAGTTTGACAAATATTGCAGATGTCGGACAACATAATGTACTTTTGAGGCTTTTTAGGTGAAAGTGTAGTTGTTTAGATTGTAACTATGCAGTTAATTTATAAGGATAGTGCCTATTTAAAAAAAAAAAAAATCAAGAATTTCAGCACGTCAGCGGCCATTAGCCTGTCATTGAGCAGAGCAAAGACGGTTGACGTTCCGCCACACAATGGCTACAGAGACCACATAATAAGTTCTTAAGGGAGAAAAACTCAGCATAAATATCACATTACAGCTGATCAAATTCTTTCAGAACAGGTAAGTGACATTCTAAGTCGGTCTCTCTCTGCCAGTGTGTGCTTTGCGTTGGCTTTTTTGGGGGGTTAATTATTGTGATATCTCGTATAGTTCCTCGTAGATACTTTCTCGTAGTAGTTCCTCATACAAAAGGATGTTTGAGACTCTCCATGATTGATTTTCTTTTTTATATACACAATTATGCAGTCAAACTGTTGTATAAACACAATATCACACTCGTAGAGGTGAGATATGGCTGTATATCGGCACTGCTGGGGCACTAAGGCACTTGGACTGTGCTCTTGAGAACAAGGCACACCTCCCACCAGTGCCAATAGACAGCCATATCGCACTGCTATGAATGTGTTACTGCTCATATTTACATTTACATTTAGCAGACGCTTTTATCCAAAACGACTTACAAATGAGGACAAGGAAGCAATTTACACAACTATAAGAGCAACAATGAATAAGTGCTGTAGGCAAGTTTCAGGTCTGTAAAGTCTAAAAAGGAAAGCATTAGTAATATATATATATATATATATATATATATATATATATATATATATATATATATATATACACATATATATATATATTTTTTTTTTTTTTGAGTACAGTTAGTGGTATACCCAGAGAGGCAATTGCAGATTAGGAAGTGAAGTGGAGACTAAATAGTTGAGTTTTTAGTCATTTCTTGAAAATAGCGAGTGACTCTGCTGTTCTGATGCAGTTAGGGAGTTCATTCCACCAACTGGGCAGATTGAACGTGAGCGTTCGGGAAAGTGATTTCTTCCCTCTTTGGGATGGAACCACGAGGCGACGTTCATTCACAGAACGCAAGTTTCTGGAGGGCACATAGATCTGCAGAAGTGAGAGCAGATAAGAAGGAGCAAAGCCAGAAGTTGCTTTGTAGGCAAACATCAAAGCTTTGAATTTGATGCGAGCAGCAACTGGCAGCCAGTGCAAACAGATGAGTAGCGGAGTGACGTGCTCTTTTAGGTTTATTAAAGACCACTCGTGCTGCTGCGTTCTGGAGCAGCTGAAGAGGCTTGATAGAGTTAGCTGAAAGCCCCGCTAGTAGAGAGTTGCAGTAATCCAGTCTGGAGAGAACAAGAGCTTGAACAAGGAGTTGAGCTGCATGTTCAGATAAGAAGGGTCAGATCTTTCTGATGTTATAGAGTGTGAATCTGCACGATAGAGCAGTTCTAGAGATGTGGTCAGAGAAGTTTAGTTGGTCATCAATCATTACTCCAAGGCTTTTCACCATTATTTACAATTGTAAACAGTTGATATATACATATACATACACAATATACAATATATACAATATACAGATATATATATACATATACAATATACAGTTGATATCAGAATTATTAGGTCCCCTTTGAATTTTTGTTTCTTTTTTAAATGTTGCCCAAATAATGTTTAACAGAGCAAAGAAATTGTCACAGTACATCTGATAATGTTTTTTCTTCTGGAGAAAGTCCGATTAGTTTTATTTCAGTTAAAATAAATGCAGTTTTTAATTTTTTTAAAGCCATTTTAGGGACAAAATTATTAGCCCCTTTTTTTTTATAGTCTACAGAACAAACCATCGTTATACAATAACTTGCTTAATTACCCTAACCTGCCTAGTTAACCTAATTAAGTTAGTTAAGCCTTTAAATGTCGCTTTAAGCTGTATAGAAAAAAAATATCTAGTCAAATATTATTTACTGTCATCATGACGAAGATAAAACAAATCAGTTGTTAGAAATAAGTTATTAAAACTATTATGATTAGAAATGTTTTTTTTTTTTAAAGGGGGCTAATAATTCAAGGGGGTTAATAATTCTGACTTCAACTGTATATAAATATAAAACAATAATAAATCTATAATATGTAAGATATAGATAGATAGACAGACAGACAGACAGACAGACAGACAGACAGACAGACAGACAGACAGACAGACAGACAGACAGACGATGATAGATAGATAGATAGATAGATAGATAGATAGATAGATAGATAGATAGATAGATAGATAGATAGATAGATAGATAGATAGATAGATAGATAGAATGTAGCTATGTTTCCATCCAAAGATGTGAATTAAAATTATGCGCAAAACTGGAATATCGTATAAAAGACATGTGAATAAAGCAGCGTTTCCATCCAATGAGTCAAAGAAAAAAACTGTCATCACTTTCTTATTAACTGGTGCCAAATATCAAAAGTAAAAATGGAACTAGCTGTGGTAGGAGAAGGTGTATGAATCTTTTCTTTATTTAAGAAATGACTTGCTCCTCATAAGACAATGCCGACACGTAATAATAAATGTGTGGTGGCGTTTGAAGGCGTCAGACGCAGAGCAAAGACGCTCTTAACAATTTCTGGAGGTGATTAATAATATAATAACACTAATACTAAAACGGTTAAGGTGCTTTAGAATGACCAAAACAACAGTTCAGATGTTTTATAGTGTGCTCAGCCTTCTGGTTTGTCCATTTACACACATTTCTATCCTCACATGATCTCTTATAACAAAATCACATGACCATTTTTAATGCACATACTGGAATTTGTTCGATAAAAGTGTTTCCATTGTAGTTTATGTGCATCTTTTCTAATCGAATAAAAAGTTTATCCGACTTTTTTT